ATCCATCCACACATCCAGTTTCAGAGAACAGGTCTTTGCTGTCCTGCTAACAGCTGCCAGTTCCTCACTGAGTGCCTCACACCAGGATGTGTTCTAAGGTAAGATTTTTCTCTCTCTGGGCAAATTTAATCTCTCCTTGTAACTTTGTGTCTTTCACTAGAGGATTTTTACAAAAAGCAAAGCTTACAACTGATTTATTGGCAAATTTCTGTTTGTTTTCTTTCCTCGTAATACGTATTTTCTTCTATTTTGCATCACTTGATTTCCCATTGCTTTTCTCTTAGTTTCTTCTTTAATTTATATATAAGTAAAGTTGTGTTTTGAAATGTATAATTTAAAACAAAAGAAAAGAAATTATTCATAAAACATATAAAGTAAGAACAAGGAGACAACACTTCAAACAAGTTGATGTTTTTAATCATTCTGCTTAAGACTATGAAAGATTTGCATGTTCATGGCAGAATTAAGTATTTAAAAAAATATTTAGAGAATTACGCAAACAGAGGCAAAACAAAAAGGAAGAGAGTCAACCTTAACTCTACTATGCAGAAACAAAAAAAAAAAAAAAAGAAAGAAAGAAGGAAATCTTTTTACAGAGAAGAATCTTAAATGTTTGCATGTGCTTTCTGGTTAAAACTTAACAGGAAACTTAGTTCACTTAGAACTGTAGCATGGAGTATATTATTCCAGCCTTGGGCTTTCAGCAGAGTTGGTCAGGTTTTGCAGTATTTCAAACATTTGAGGCTGATTACCGAACTCCAGAGGTGCCTTGGTGACACAATGGTGAAACGCTTGACTACTAAGCAAAAGGTCGGTGATTTGAACCCACTACTTCCATAGTGATACTGCCTCATAAACCCAAGGAGGGGTTGCTATGAGTCAGGTCTGACTCAATGGCACATAACAACAACAACAACTATGTAGGAAAAAAGACCTAGAGATCTGCTCATGTAGACATTACAGTCTAGGAAACCTAGACATTATAGTCTAGGAAACCCCATTGGGACAGTTCTATTCTGTCATATAGATTTGCTGTGACTTTTAATCAACTCAATGGCACATAAACAGCACCACTACCGAACCCCCATGAAAAATCACTTAAAAATATTGATTTCTTGGATTATAAAAACAGTTAATTGTGGAATATTTAGAAATTACAAAAATGGAAAAAGAATATAATTTAAGTTATTGATTATAAATGACTGGCATTTTTGGTGTGTATCTTTCCAGTTTTTAAAAAATGTACATATATATATTTATATTTTAATAATTGAAGTCTGCTCTAAATATAGTTTAATAACTTTTACTTATATACATTATATTGTGAATATTTTCTAAGACATTGAAATTATTTGCAACCATGATTTTTCAGAGCTGCTTAATATTCCACCATTAAAATGCTCCATAATGGATTTAATCAATTGCTAACTGGTAGACATTGGTAGCCATTTAGGTGGGTTGTATTTTTTTTTTTCACTGATATAAATAATTCAGCAATTAAAAATTTTAAACATCAATCTTTTTCTGCTTCTCTGGTCATTTTCTTAGGATAGATTCCTAGAAGTAGAGTTACCAAATCAGGATATGCAATTTTTACCACTTGGTAGTGTAGTGCCTAAGGCATTTGACTGCTAACCAAAAGGCTGGTGGTTCAGACCCACCAGCCACTCTTTGGAAGGAGGTTTGGGCAGTCTACTCTGTAGTGATACTGCCTCGGAAACCCAAGAAGGGATCTCCATGAGTCAGAACTGACTCGATGGCAGTGAGTTTGGTTTTTTTGGATATAGTTCACAATAGTAATGTATTTTAAAATTTAAATACAGAAGCTATGTAAAAGAAAATGAAATTCTTCTCAGAAACTGTTATCACCTGAAATTTAACAAGTTATTGTGACCAAATGCCAACTAAGTATATAAAATCCTAAATAAGAAAGGTAACTATGAAAGTTAGTATTTGATTTATATGAAGTGACATATCATGGGAGCTCTGGTGGCATAGTGTCTAAGGCATTTGACTGCTAACTAGGAGGCTGGCAGTTCAAACCCGCCATCTTGTCCTCAGAAGGAAGGTTGGGAAATCTACTCCTGTAGTGACACCTCCTTGGAAACCCAAGGAGGGGTCGCTATGAGTTGGATTCTACTCGATGGCAGTGAGTTTGGGTTTTTTTTTGGATATAGACCAATAAACTTGTTTTTTCCCATGGTATGTAGGACTACTTCTAAAAAAGTTATTCCAATTAAAAAAAAAAGAGTGGATTTAAAGAGAAAGATTCACTAAATAACAATATAATTGATCCTTGGTTGTGGTATAAACCATCAAGGTGATGGGTAAATGTCTGAAGTTTGAGAAACAAAGGGCTAGGTGATCTGTAGAGCTCCTTTTCACTCTGTGCTAGGTAAAATTCAAGATATCAATAATAAGCAATGTTAATGGTAGCGCTGGTGGCACAGTGCCTAAGGCACGTGACTGCTAACCAGAAGTCTGGTGGTTCAAACCCACCAGCCACTCCTCAGAAGGAAGGTTGGGCAATCTACTTCCATAGAGATGTGTTGTTGTTGTTATGTGCTATTGAGTTGGACCCGACTTATAGCAACCCCTCCTTGGGTTTTCGAGGCGGTATAACTAGGGAGGTAGATTGCCCATTTTCCTTCCATAGAAATGCCGCCTCAGAAACCCAAGGAGGGGTCGCTATAACCAGCATAAGGTTAATTTTCAAAATGTGAAGATAAGTCATATCCCTTTTCCCATTTCTCCATCATCCTCTCTGACCTGACCACTCAGAGTTGAGCGTCCACAAGTTAGAACTCTGTCCTTCCAGCCCCTGCCAAATAGGTAAATGCTAGCCTCTCTTCTGGCTTTCAAAGCCCCAGTGGGTTCAGTAATTTGCTAGAATGACTCACAGATCTCACAGAGACTATCTATACCTACCTTTACCCATTTATTATCATGAGAAAGGATACAAGTGAAGAGACACATCAGGCAAGGCCTGGGGGTGGTCACTGCAGGAGACTTCCATTGTCTCCAGAGACATGCCACACTCTCCCAGGCATTGATGTTCTTGCCACTCCAAGCAGTCCCCACAAAGAAGGATCTAAGGCGTAGAATCCCTTAGTTATTGGGGCCTCAATTACTATGCATGACTGGGGCCTTAATACATACTTATGATAGATTAAGTCAATGAATGTGCATGGTTGACTGTATTGTGTCACCTCACACACACTTCCTGAGTGTTGGAACCACAATGGGGTCTGTGTAGCCCCTACTCATTTACACATGTTTAAGCATTGTCTGGCTGTTTTAGAAAGCAAAGGGCACCTTGATTGCTGGGGAATTCCAAAAGCTATTTTCAGAAACCAGAGACAAAAGGTCAAATTGAGTTCTTTGTCCCATACAGTTATCTAGAAGGCATTCTAGGAGCCAGGTACAGTTATTGAGATGTATAAGTGGCACAAATAGTATGTTCTTGGCTACAAACAGAAAGATTGGCAATTCAAATCCACCCAGAGACACCATGGGAGAAAGGCCTGGCAATCTGCATCTGTAAGATTGTTGCCATCAAGTCGATTCTAACTTACGGTGATCCCATGTGTTACAGGGTAAAACTGCTCCATAGTTGTTTTGACTGTAATATTAATGGAAGAAGATTGGCCTTTTTTTCTGTGGCACTGCCAGATGGGTTTAAGCTGCCAAACTTTAGATTAGTAATTGAGTACAAACTGTTAGTGTCACCCAGGGATATTTCCATAAGATTGCAGCCATTAAAAACCTATGGAACAAAATACCTGCAGTCCTTACAGAAACAATAGAAGACAGACACAGAGTAATCCCTCACAGACATCCCGATACTATAGGAGAGAGATCCAATAGATCTACTACCTCAGGACCATAGTATTGGGGGACACCAGACTCAATTGGCACAGCAAAATACATAAAAGCGTTGCTCCACATCCTACACTGGTGAGTAGTGATTGGGGTCTTAAAAGCTTGCAAGCAGCCATCTAAGATGCAGCTAATAGTCTCCTAGCATCGGAAGTGAAGAAGAATGCAAACAAAACAAAACAAAACAAACAAACAAACAAAAAACAAAAAGGGCATTTAGAAGCAATCAGCCCTAGGACACAATGGCTCTCGAGACCAGAAGAACTGGATGGTGCCCGGCTACCAATGCCAACCACTCAGGAAAGGATCAAATATGGAGATCCTGGATAGAGTGGGAGGGAAAACGTGGAACAAAATCCAAAAACTCAATAATGACCAGAATTACTGGTCAGATGAAATCTGGTGAGACTCCCAGTACTATGGCCTTGAAATATATTTGGCCTCTGGAATAAAACTAACCCCCAAGGGTGGGCTCTCAGCCTAATAGTTAACAAGATGTACACGCAGACCACTCAACCCAGGATGCCGCACCACACATTCAATGGTAATACATCCCTTAGAGCAATAGACCATGGGACACCAGAGGACCAACATTCAAACTGAGGAAATGCAGGACAAACGGGAGTGCATAATTATGAGGGGCACAGGGGGAGGGTTGCAGGCTAGGGAGGGGAGGAGACTGGGTTAGGGTTGGGCATGGCGAATGGGGAATGAAACTAAACGTATGCATGAAGAATGTAAAACAAGCTCTTAAAATAAAAATAATAATTAAAAAACAAAACAAAAAAACCCCATAAAAAACAAAAAAAACCTATGGAACAGTTCTACCTTGTAACACATGGGGTCACCATGAATTGGAATCAACTCGAAGTCAACACGTTTAGCTTTTGTAAAAGTGAACAGAGACTCAGGCATGGAAAAGTTTCCAAACACCATCCTACTTCTGCTAATACTTGCATCCTAACTCTTATAACCCTTTGTATTTTTCGCTCCAATAGTGACTTTTACTTGTCTGTGGTAGACTTTGTCTCCTCTTCTATAAAGGCTATAGAAGACCTGTAGCTGTAACAGGACCCTTCCTGGAACCTGGAAGAGAAGACGCCCCCAGCCCAGCCCTTACCATGTTCCGTGGGCTTCTAGAAGCTCCCCAGCGGTGGCTGAAGGAGAGGAGAGAGTCCCGGAAGCTGGTGCTGCTAGTGGTGTTTGTTGCTCTGCTTCTGGATAACATGCTTCTGACTGTGGTGGGTACGTTCAGTGGGTCTTTGTGTCAATGGTTAATTTGCTTTGGGCCCCATTAGGCAGTACACACCCAGCTAGATTTCAGCAGTGAATAGATGAGAGATTTTCTTTTTATGTTCAAATATACCTAGAGGTTACTAGGGTTGAGGGAGACAGGAGGAAATGAAGGTGGGAGCTTCCCAAGCATAGTTTCAAGGAGAAGGAGCATCTGACCAGAATACAGGGTGACCTGGAACCTGTGCTAGGGCTTCCTCTTCCTCCTCCTTCCTCTCCTCTTCCAAAAATCATGATTTTTATTGGATATGTGACTCCTTATCGAAACTTACCTTTCTAGAATTTCATTCCCACTTTTTGACAGTTAATAGTCCATTCTTTATATTAAGTTATGCTATTATGTGGCCAATATGTGGCCAATATATTTTTCCTCCTGGACAAGCTATATGTTTTAAAGAAGAATCTTCCTGAGACAAGTTGTTAATCCAATATATGATTGGAGTTTAGGAATGTTAAAACCAGTTGTTGTCAAGTGGGCTCTGACTCATGGTGACCCTTGTGTGTCAGAGTAGAGATGAGCTGCATAGGGTTTTCAAGGGCTAATTTTTCAGCAATAGATCACCAGGCCTTTCTTCTGAGGTGCCTCTGGGTAGACTTGAATCTCCAACATTTTGGATAGCAGCTGAACGTGTTAACCATTCGTACCACCCAAGGATTCTTTAGGAACTTTAGCTAATAGGATAATTTATGCAGGCATGATCTTTTGGTAGTCTTCATGTCACATCACCTAGACAACTTCCTTAAAAATAAAACTGGACCTCATAGAAATGTCCCTGTACTTAGTAGTGATAAAAAGATAGTTTACCCTTAGCCCTCATCACTTCTTCTTGACTTTCAGTGCCCATTGTGCCTACCATCCTATACACCACAGAGTTTAGACAATTCAGCACTTCTGAACACCTGGGCCCTGCCGTGACTTCCCAGCCTGCCCTCACCTCATCTACCTTTTCTACCATCTTCTCCTTCTCTGACAACAATGCCATGGCTGTTGAAGAAAGTGTACCCCGTGGCACATCTGGCACCACCCTTCTTCCAGTCACTGAAGTCATCTCAGTGCATACAGACAACTGCTTCCAAGGCACAGAGTTCTTGGAGGAAGAGAACGTATGGGTTGGGATTCTGTTTGCTTCAAAGGCTCTGATGCAACTTCTGGTCAACCCATTTGTGGGGCCTCTCACCAACAGGTATCTCAATGGGTACAATGCTCTACAGAGTGCTTCAGGGCCTCAGGAGTAAGAGGATGAGCTAAGACGTCATAAAGGTGGTGGTCCCCGGGGGAGCTGGCTGCTTGGAGAGTTGATTGTTCTAAAGGATTATATGGTATTGAGGAAATGCCATGGGCTCCAGATTTCTTTGTGATGTAATGAATATTTGGTACCAAGAAGAGCATCAGTGAGCAATTACAGACTGTTGATATTATATGGGTTCCATGAAACCAAGGTAGGAGTGGGACAGTTTTATCTCAAGCTACATATTTTCTAGTAGTTGTCTTTGGGATTGTCCTGATGTTCTAAAGGAATATAAAGTCTGACCAGGCTGTCATTTCTGGAAAAGAGTATTTTGGCTCATCTATAGATAAATTTGTACATTTGCTTGTGTGCTTGTATTCATTCACATGTCATGCCCCATCTTGACACCAGCATTCCGAGACCTCTTTTAGCATGTACTCAATTGCATTCTGCTCCAACTTACATTAAAAAATAGAGTCCAGATATATGTATTAGAGTTATAAGGAGCTCTGGTGGTGTAGGAATTTGGCTGCTAACCAGAAGGTTGGCAGTTCAAACACACCAGTTGCTCCAGGGAGTCAAAATCGACTCAATGGCAGTTTTTTTTTTTTTTCAATAGAACTGTGTCTTTTCTTTTTTAATTCCTTTTTAGGATTGGCTATCACATTCCCATGTTTGCTGGCTTTGTTATCATGTTCTTCTCCACAATTAGTAAGTAATTTGCTTCTCCTTTTCTTCTGTTTACTGATTATCTTTGATTTTATCATGTACAGTACAGTGAATTGAGCACGGTCATTTTTGCCCAGATGGTAATTAGGCATCTGACCAAGTGGCCTTTGCCATTAATTGAAATGTTTCATTATTTTATGGAATGCAGAATAGAACAGCAGTGGAGCTTTCAAGCTTTGCAACTCAGTCCGGTTGGAATTTGTCTATTTTGCCATTCATACTTTGTTTCTTTCAACAGGGCAAAATTAAAGAAGACTGTTTTAGTATTTATATGCTACTATAGTATATGTGTGTGTGTGTAGCAAGAATATTTTGAGTGAGTTTAATAAAAACCTATCATCTTTGGGAAGAGGTCATATGATTAGATATGAAAAGGTAGTAAGAGTAACAAATAAAGAACCCAGTTGGACAATAGCAACTGGCAAATTCCAAAAACTCTACTGCCTTCAAGTTAAGGACATTAAAGTTTATAGCTTAGGAAAGTAAACTTGCTAAAGAAATAAGAAGTCAAATAGTCTATACAGTGTCTGCCAAATCTTTCTAATAAAATGGAGATGCAATAAGAAAAGTAAGTAAGAAAACTAAACCTGGAAGTTGACCTGGAGAAGTAAAATAAGAAATGAAAGGAGAGGGTGTTTGGGTGTTAATTTTGGGGAAAGCAGCCTATGGACCCACCATGGGCTCCTGATGCCTCTGCTGATTCTTGGCTCTCCAACAATATTCCTCCTCCCTTCTGTTTTTCTTATTACCTTTCTGTACTTACCTGCTTTCTCTATTCCTCTTCCTTAAGTTTTCTTCCTTTCTAGCATAGGGCTTGACTCCTATCAATAACGTTTAACATGACTTTGTTGCATTCAGGGCTGGAAGGGTGCAAAGTGCAGGAGATAGAGATGTTAAGTTCTGTTGTCTGAGTACTGCAGTTTATTTGTGAAAATTCTAGCCGAATCAAAGGGAATGCAGAACTTCAAGTTAGAGATGTTCATTGGACTTCTAGAAGCTCAGCCTATCCTAAACAGTAAAATAAAAATGAGTAAGATACTTTTTCTCACCAAATGAAACTTAATTAAAATTCAGTCCAGAAGGCTTTTTTGGGGGCACATATATTATGCGTCAGGAGCTCTGGTGGCACAGTGCCTAAGGGATTTGACTGCTAACCAGAAACTGGTGGTCAAACCCACCAGCCACTCTTCGGAAGGAAAGTTGGACAATCTACTTCTATAGTAATACCACCTTGGAAACCCAGGGAGGGGTCATTATGAGTCAGATCCAACTTGATGGCAGTGTTTGAGATATTGTGATTCAGTGGCAGTATTCACTTAGGGCATATATAGAATGAAAAGATATGATTACAGCTTTGTAGGAATACAATGCTTTCTGAGAAGACCTGACAAACACCTGGAAAGACAAGATAATGCAGGCTGCATGCTAGTGAATCCCCAAATCTTTACCACTAAGATCCTTGCCTATTATTACTAATTCCATGCCAAGAACTCATATTTTGAATTTTTTTATTTTCTATGAAATAATTTTTATTAAATAATAATTATTATTTCCAAGAGATAACAAGTGTTGCTGTACTGAGTTGTCTATTTCTAGCCTAAAGCAAATAAGTTTAGTGTTTAGGCTATCCTATGTAGCATGTAGGGAGCTCTGGTAGCATAGTGCCTAAGGCACTTGACTGCTAACCAGAAGGCTGGTAGTTCAAACCCACCAGCCACTCCTCGGAAGGAAGATGGGGCAATCTACTTCCGTAGTGATATTGCCTTGGAAACCCAAGGAGGGGTCGCTATGAGTCAGGTACAACTCGACAGCACATAACAACAACACAACATGTAGCGTATATGGGAGCTCTGGTGGTGTAGTGCCTAAGGCATTTGACTGCTAACCAGAAGTCTGGTGGTTCAAATCCACCAGCCACTCCTCAGAAGGAAGGTTGGGCAATCTACTTGTGTGGTGATACTGCCTCAGAAACCCAAGGAGGGGTTGCTATGATTTGAATACGACGCGATGGCAGTGAGTTTGGTTTGATGTAGCATATATGAGTTCTATTTAGAGATTTTTAAATGCTAAAAATAAGTTGCTGGTACAATGAATGCACAAGCAATAGAAAGCAAAATAGATTCCTCGGACCTCATAAGCAATAAATACTTACAATCTTAAAAAGACTTTATCAAAAGAATAAAGAAACAACTTACAAACTGGGAAAAAATCTTTGGGAATGATGTCACTAATAAGGATCTAATATCTAAAATATAGAGAAAAATTTCACAACTTATGAAAAAAAATCATTCAATAAAAAATTTACACCAAAGATCTGAACAGACACTTTACCCAGGAGGATATTCAAAAGGCCAACAGGCATACTCAACATCATTAGCTATCAGAGAAATGCAAATGAAAACCACAGTGAGATACCATTTCACTATCACTAGGATGGCAAGATTTTTTTAAAAAAGGAAAATAGCAAATGTTGAAGTGGCTATGGAGAAATTGGGCCCCTCATCCATCGCCGGTGGGAATGCAAAATGATACAGTCAATGTGGAAAACAGTCTGATATTTCCTTAAAAAAACAAGAGGTAGTGCTACCATGTTGTTGTTGTTGTTGTTATGTGCTGTCAAGTCAAATCTGACTCATAGTGACCCCTCCTTGGGTTGCCGAGGCAGTATCACTATTGAAGTAGATTGCCCAACCTTACTTCCGAGGAGTGGCTAGTGGGTTTGAACGGCCAGCCTTCTGGTTAGCAGTCAAGTACCTTAGGCACTATGCTACCAGAGCTCCCAGTGCTACTATATGATCCAGCAATTCCTAGGTATATACCCTAGGGATCTAATAAAAGTGATGTGAATAGACATATATACACCTATGTTCATTATAGCACTATTTACAATAGCAAAAAGATGGAAATAACCCAAGTGCCCATCAATGAATGAGTGTAATGTAGTATATACATACAATGGAATAATACTCAGCAGTAAAAGAAAATGAATTCCTAACATGTCTTGTAGCATGGATGAACCTGGAGGACATTATATTGAGCAAAATAAGTCAATCACAAAAAAACAAATATTGTATGTTCTCACTTTTATGAAATAACATGAACACATAAATATACAGAAACTAATGCTCATTAGTGGTTACCAGGGATGGGGCAGAGAGGAGGAGTCATCATCTAGATAGTACACATTTTTTTTTGTGATGGTAAAGATAACACTGAAAGAAGGTGAAATGTACATGGTTTGAGGAAGGTAAATAATTTCACTAAAAAGTACACAAGAGAAAAGGACCTGCTGGTAATTGCTATGGCATATATAACTTTGAAACAACAGCAAAAACAACCAAAATATATATGAATGGGTATATGGTTATATATGTAGGCATATATGTGTATAGGTATGTGTATACAGTCATGTACCACATAACTTCCACTCAGACATATATGCCTATGGTACCATAAGGTTATATTAGAGTTTAGAAATCCCAAATGGAGAACAGTTGGAATGTAGCAACTGTAATAGCTTCTTGCATGCAACATGTGTATCTCATGACTCTTTTATGCAAAGCGATTGCTCTGCCAGAAATATAATGGTACAGTACATGTATAACTTATCATACATATATGTTGATAATCATAATAAATGCCTATGTTACTTGGCTTATGCATGCACTGTACTTTCTATACAAAATTTTTACTCTATAATAGTGTATGCCTCTATTCATACACAGCAACAGCCAATCTCTTGAGTGTTGTAGTTTTATTTCGCTCTTCAATTTTCTTTCAAAAATAATATTACTGGGAAGTGCATCATGGCTCCAAATGCAGCAAAACCAGAGCTAGTGATAGCAGCAGCAAGAGGCAAAGGAGCAGAACAGATTTGGAAGTGAAACAAGAGTTTACCAAACGATATGAAGGTAGAAAATCAGTTAATATTATTGCTCGTGGTTTAGGCATGTCACACTCAATAATCATGACAATCCTCAAAAACAAAGAAAAAATTCTCCAAGCTGTTAATGGATTAACTCCACTGAAAGCTACAAACCAAAAAAACCCCTAACTCACTGCCATTGAGTTGGATCCAACTCATAGAGACCCCTCCTTGGATTTCTGAGGTGGTATCACTACAGAAGTAGATTGCCCAACCTTCCTTCAGAGGAGTGGCTGATGGGTTTGAACTTCCAGTCTTCTGGTTAGCAGTCAAATGCCTTAGGCACTACACCACCAGAGCTCCCTTAAAAGCTACAAGGCTAATGAAAATTTGAGAAGGACCTATATCAGATAAGGTGAAATTGCTAATTACATGGATTGAGGACCAAACACAAAAATGAATCCCTCTCACATGTTGACAATCACTACTAAGATGCTGAGCTTGTTCAAGATGCTTAAAGAAAAAAAACAGGACTCGACTACAGTATGGTGTTCATACAACATCCAAATCACATAACATCCTATTTTACAGAACATATTTTGGATGTTAAGTGATGTATGACTATATGTGTGCATGTATAGGCGTGTTCATATGCATATGTGTAAAAACGGTGACATGGTGTAAGACCTCCTCTAATTTCAGGAAGGTGGAGAAGAATCACCATCAACATCAGCCCAAGGCTGATTCCTATGAGATGGAGGAAAAGCCTTCTTCCATGTTCCAACCTTTTTACCAATTCTGACACCAGCCATGCCTCCCACCACACTCTACTTTTCTGCTGGGCTCAATAATATGTTGCAATGGTCACAGGGAAGTCATAAAATATACAATTATGGAGTTTACTAAAGTAGTAACAGATGTTACCACTCAGGATTAGGAACAACTCAGTAAATACTTCTTCAATTAGGACAGCCTCTTCTTAGCCATGCCCACTAGCAGGCCTCTCTCTTGCCCTTGGCCTTTCAGCCTCTTGACTCCTTAGCCTGGCCTCTGCCAGCTTGGGCAAGTGTTGAAGAGCTCTTTAGCACACCAGGTGCCTGGAGGTACCCCACTGTGCCAGGAAGTTTCCTGCCTAAAGGCTCTCAGCTGTTTTGTTCTGTGAGTCTGCACATCCACTGTAGCTACCTTGCTCAGTGGGTCAGGAAGTGCACCACACTGTCTCATGTTGGTCTTCTGGTTCTGCTGTGGCTATTTCTCTGCCACTGCTTCTCACTGTCTTGCACCATTTCTGGCATTACAGTTTTCTCTTTTTCCTCAGTCTATGAGGTTCTCAGTGCAAAGACCCCAGGTCCAAAGGATGAACTCCACCCCTGGCTGTTCTTTCTTGATGGTAGCAAGGCCACCTCTTTCTGTCTTTGGGATGTCTCATTTTAAGCCTAGTGGGATACCAAAACTGACCAATCCTCTCATTAGAGTTACAAACACCTTATCTGCATAGTCTTACCCTCACAAAGGTGAAATACATCTTATTTACAATGCTCTCTGATCCCCTTGCAATCATTTTGTAGAAGTCACAAAACCATGCACAGCTGGAAGGGTCATATTAAGGAATTTACTGTGCTGTAATATGCATCTATGTGACTGTATGCACATATATTCATATATGTAATAAAGCACATGTGGGGTTGCAGTGTAGTGAATTACACGGTATGGCTTTCCTAGCCATGTTGTTGTTATGTGCCGTCGAGTCAAACCCAACTCATAGCGACCCCTCCTTGGGCTTCCGAGGCAGTATCACTATGGAAGTAGGATTGCCCAACCTTCCTTCCGAGGAGTGGCTGGTGGGTTTGAACCGCCAGCAGTCTGGTTAGCAGGCAAGTGTCTTAGCCACTATGCTACCAGAGCTCCCTAACCATAGTCTTTGTAATTCTCACCAGATTACTGAGAGGGACCATGCAAATATGTGTCACCTTGGCTGGGCAGCTGGTAGTAGTTATTTCCATATAATGAGACTGGTAATTAACTCCATGGTGGAATTTGCTGTGAGCACTGAATTGTTGTTGTTGTTATGTGCTGTCGAGCTGGACCTGACTCATAGCGACCCCTCCTTGGGTTTCTGAGGCAGTATCACTACCGAAGTAGATTGCCCCACCTTCCTTCCGAGGAGTGACTAGCGGGTTTGAACCGGCAGCCTTCTGGTTAGCAGTCAAGTGCCTTAGGCACTATGCTACCAGAGCTCCGAATAGCTGCTTTTAAATTCCTAAGTATTAAAGTCATCCACTGGGGTATTTCTGTTGGAGCGGCACAAAGCAATCTTCTGGGAAAGAGCTCTGATGTTGGGATTGGTTAGTTTTGCCACTCTGCCAAGCTTAACATGAGCCCTTCTTGAGGCAGAGGGAGAATCTCACTGCTAGCTGAGAGAGATGCCCAGTTTAGAGACAGCGGCAGTGGAACTAAGAGGCATGGGACAGAAGGGCAGGTTTACCTGGCCCACAGAGGCAGAGGCCAGGCTGAGAGACCAACGGGCGTGTCTAAGGGCACAGCAGACACTGTATCTGATCAAGGCACTGTATCCTGAATGCTTTCCTGAACTTGAATTGTAGCCTGTTGTTTCCCTAATAAACTCCCTAATCTGTGAGTTCTGTGTAGCCACTTCAGGGAATAACTGAACCCAGCAAAGAGGTAGTAGGTGTCGTGGGAAGGACAGTTGGTGTCAAGAATGGTTGGTAAGAGGGCTGGAGGGTGCTGGCATGTCTGGTGTCACAGGAATAGGCCTTGGGCTCCTGATGGTAATTCTGTCTTCCTTTTGTGTAGGTAGAGGAAGTCAAAAGATGCTGCCTCACTGCCCCTTTAGCAGGGGCATAGTTATGGATACTTCTTAGACAAACAGCTCGTGGGATTGGATTACTGGGTTTGAAGGATTAGGATCATAGTCTTGTTGGCCATCTCAATCAATTGACATAATATAGTTCATAAAGTTATATTCTACATTCTAGTTTGGTGAGTACATTCTACATTCTAGTTTCTGTGATCTTAAAGCTTGCAAATAGCCATCTAACATACAACTATTGGTCTCTGCTGTCCTGGAGCAATAGAGAAAGAAAGAAACCAAGGACTTGAAAAAGAAACTAGTCTATAGGACAAATAGTCTACATGAACCATGACCTCATCTACCCTGAGACCAGAAGAATTACATGATGCCTGGCTGCGTCTACTGGTTTTTCTAATCAGCGTCACAATATATGGACCCTAACAGAATGGGAGAAAATTTTAGAACAAATTCCTAAAAACAAAACAAAACCCAGAATTACCAGGCTGGTTGAGACTGAAGGATTTCCCAAGACTATCGTTCTAAGATACTCTTCAAACCTTGAATCAAAACTAAACCCTAAGGTCACCTTGTAACCAAATTACAAATTGGTTAAAAAAAATAATGATTATCACCATAAGTACTATATTTCTTTAAAAGTCACCTATATGAGACCAAATGGTCAACATTTATTTTAAAACAAAGACAAGAAGGGGACAAGGAAACTAGATTAATAGAAATGGAACAACCAGAATGGAAGTAATGAGAATGTTCACTCATTGTGAAGATTGTAACCAATGTCACAGAACTACTTATATAGAATTGTTGAATGGGAATCGAAACTGCTGCATATACATCTAACCACAACATAATAACTCTGTAGAGTTA